CAGTGTCAAAATTAAAAGAAACTCACAATATAACAATACAAGCTATTCAGTTTGTAGGATAATGTTGTATGTTTCTATAAATAGATTCTGAAGAACAGATTTTTTGGGGAAAGCACAACCCCCATGGTATTAGTATGGTACTGAAACAAATTAAAACATAGTGATTAAATATACTGACAGGAATTATGCGAAATGCAGACATGCATTATGTTGACTGGAAGGTAGTTGTACAAATACTCTTGAAACCACTGCAATCTTTTAAAAATTATGTAAAACATTATTCACTAAATTTCAGATTCCAAGGTCTTAGCAGCAACTAAAATGTCTTCATTTTCTGTGAAAATTTTACTGATCTCTATTATACATGAAATCTAAAATCTTTTCACCTTTTAAAACCATAGTATCAGTTCTAACATTTCAACCCAGAGATTGACATAGCCTAGTTCGGACAGCAGAGGGTGCACAAGACTAAAGTTAACTAGTGTAACTGTACCAAGACTCTCAATGCAAACAACTTTTTCTCCTCGATTTGGATTCTTCACAAAGACAGCCCAAAGAATATCACTACTGAAATGTGTTATAATACATTTTGTTATTAAAGAGAACTCTGTTGTCTTGTTGTCAAATTGCAGTATACTCCTATTTATACAGGTGGAGACAAATACATGGATGTACATTTTACGTACGTATGAGGGAGTATCGTATAGTTTTAATTATCACCTTTAAAAAATTTTGACAGAAAGTTTGTTTTGATTTGTAGTTGTTAACTTATATCTATGTAGTCACCATCCAGATCTACACATTTTCCCCCAGCATTTCTTGACCCTCCGAATACCATCATTGTAGAAATCTGCAGATGGTGCTGTACAAGGATTTTGCACTTTAGTCACTTCTGGCACAACCTGTCACAAAAATAAAGAACACAATGAGCTGATTTTCTCAACATCATGCACTTAGGGACCAATGATGACACTGACAAAATTTCATCAATATACTATAATAACTTTTGGGTGATAACCATTACTTTACGATACCCCCTCATAAAACGCAATCTGCAAACTTGTACAATATCAAGTATTTGGAGGGTCAAGAAACGCTGGGAAAAATGTGTGAGTTCATAGATATAAGTTAACAACTACAAATCAAAACAAACTTTCTGTCAAATTTTGTTAAAGGTGCTAATTAAAACTTTACAATACCCCATCATAATACCTTCTTTGACTATTCACAATCTCTCACACTTTTCTACTTACACAAAGCACACAAACAAAATATTTATTTTACAAAAACCAGCATGCCTTTTCACACATCACCTATAAAAATACTTCAATAGTGCTGCCTACTTCTCTGCTCAATTTTCTTAACAGCAGTACCCAGCCTAACATGTTCTCATATTTTGTGTGCTGACTTTTTTAGATGAAATATTCATAAACATCCCATGAAACATAAGCAGCTGAACCAAAAGATCATATAATCAGCTAAAGCCAGAACTCTCACAGTGAAGCATTACAATGAATGCTTCTAAAATTATCATATGAATTTACCTGATGGTTCTGTCTTTTGTTGAAGTCTGCCAAGTCTTAGAATAAATTGCAACATTTCTCCTGTTTTTCCTCATCTCTGCCTCTACATTACATATGTATATATCTATAGATAACTGTATAACAGAAGTGGTTCTGAACTTCAAACACAGCTATAGTTATTCTGTCCCACTCCCACCCACCATCCTGAAACTCTAGTGTTACCAATCTAACTTCTGGAATATGCATACAGCCTCATGAAACTGCCAAACACTTCAGGTAGATTTAGAGAGTAAATGTCTTGAAACACGCTTAGAAGAAATCTCTTAAGTGTCAACTGCCGAGTTATTCATTAATTCAGTGCCACAAATAAGCATCCAAATAAAGAAACACCACTATTTATTTATTTATTTATTTATTGTCAGTCTTTTCCTCAGTTCTGAACTCAAAGTGGCTTACAACAAATTTAAAAATGTGTTGTTAAAAATCCACAAGATACAAAAGTTAAAATGAGAGTAAAAAACAAACAAAAAATTCAAACCAAATTCAAACATTTATCATTAAAATGTGTGCACACACCAATTAGGAAGGTCCAGCACATTGTTTGGTGGGACAGACCCATTATAATGAATCATCAAATGCCTGCCTAAGTGGAAAAGTCTTTATTTGTCTGCAAAAAGGTAGGGAGGGTGCCAGTCTAACTTCTCTGGGAAGAAAGTTGCAGAGCTTGGGGGCAGCCATTGAGAAGGCCCTCTTCCATGTTCTCACCAGCTGTACCTTGAGAGAAGGGCATCCTGAGCAGGTCTCAAAGCATAGGCTGATTCGTAAGAAAAAATAGGGTCCTTAAAATAATCTGAGCTGTGTAGGGCTTTATAGGTCAAAACCAGCACTTTGAATTGTGCCCAGAAATGGGCCAGAAGTCAGCAAAGCTCTTGTAACAAGGGAGATGCATGTTTCCGGTAGCCAGCTTGTTAGCAATCTGGCTGCAGCTCTTTGGACCAGTTGACTTTTCCAAACACTCTTCAAAGGTATTCCCATGTAAAGTGTGTTATAGTAATTTAACCAGCATGTAACTAAGGCATGTCACCATGATAAAATCCAACTTCTCAAAGAATGGGCACAGCTGGTGCAGTACTAAGGTACTCCTACCTACTACTGAAACTTGAATTTCCAGGGTCCGGGTTGAATCCAAGAGCACACCCAAGCTAGAGACCTGATTTATTCCCTCATCTGTCTTTTCCCTGACCAGGAACACCTCCATCTTGTCTGGATTAAGATTCATTTTGTTCACCCTCATCCAGTCCATTATTGATGACATTATTATTATTATTATTATGCACTGATTTAGGACCAAAACAGATTCCTTGGCTTGTAGCAGAAAGGAGTAATAGAGCTGGTATCATCCACATACTGTTAGCATTGAAACTTCAGACAACCTCTCCCTGTGATTTCATGTATATGTTAATGTCATGGGGGACAGAACCATGCCCAGTGAGACCCCACAGGCCAATATACAAGAGGACAATCAGGAGTCTCCCAGCATCACTTTTCTGGAAGGTTCACCCTTCCAGGAAGGAAAGGAGCCACTGTAAAACAGTGTCTCCAAGTCCCATCCTAGCAAGGTGACTCAGAAGGATATCATGGTATTGAAAGCTGCCAAAGGTCCAGTAGAACCAATAGGGACACACTACACTGTCTCACTCCTGGTGTAGGTAATCCACCAAGGTGACCAAACTGGTTTGGCTCTATTCCATGAGAGGGGATGCTTGGGAGTGATCATATCCACGGCCCTGATAATTCATGCATTCCAGAGGTCACCCAGGACTTCAGCAGGATCACCAGTCAAGACAGCAAAAATAACCCCGCTCTGAAACCATCAGGAATACATCTGGGTCCATAAGCCTCCTGGGGTAGACCTTTTTATGTGTTCTCTACCCCTGCAGAGCTTGCAAGTTCCAGCAAGTCTAAACCGCACCCGGTAGGTGATCTGTTCATGACAATGGGACTACAGTTTCTTCACTCCCAGGACACATTCAGCCCACCCACTACAGGAAACAAGTTGCAGAGTGTGCCCAGCAGCATAACTATAGCCAAATTTGAGACAGACACATGGCTATAATGGCAGACATAAAGGCCTGAACTGCTCCGAACAAGTCAACCTTAGTATGGATATTGAAAACTCACAACACTACAAGATAGGTGGATTCCAACCCAAACCCCGAGAACACCTCAGCTAGCTCAGGAAAGGAGAGGGATGAGCAGTGGAATGGGTGGTACACAAAAGAATCCCTAATCTATCCTGGTCACCCAGCTCCAGCTAAAGACACTCGAACCCAGAAAACTGCACGATAGGGCAGCAGGTCAGGGGGGTGGGATTTCAGTAGACTACTGCAACTCCACCTCTCTGACCTCAGGACTCGTCTGCTGCTGAACAGACAGCCCTGGTGGACAAAGCTGAGAGATTAACTACCACCACGTCTCAGCAATGGTGGCAGAGAATAAATAAATGAAGTAAATAAAGATGGATAATAAATAAAATAAATAAAGATGGATTTTACACATAAGCAAAGGTGAGTAGGCAAATTTATTACCGTAATAGTTTAGGAAGTTCCAGGCCTAGTGTATTGATACAGGTACATGACCAGTTAAGTGCAGGCATGAGAACCCTACTTACTACCTGAGATATCAACCAGTGTTTTAATATGTATATTATGCCAAGAAACCATTGCCCCTGTTAAACCAGTGCCAATGTATTGGAGTCTGAGGATATATCCTAATTCAGCTGTTTCTCTTTCCAACAACAACAACAACAACAACAACAACAACAACAACAACAACAACGTTAAGACTGATACTCAGGGGTCCAAGTTAAAATGTCCAGGAAAGCTGAAGTGTTCTGCAATTGTTTTTTGGGTTTCCCCATTTCTAAAGTCCAATTTCTGTTCATTTATAATCTGGCATAGAGACCATCCTATTTGCCTAATGTAGAGTGTTGAGAGGCACTGTTGATAAAAGATTGCATATATCACATTAGAGCAGGGATATGCAAAGTGCAGCCTGTGGGCCATGTGGAGCTTCCCTGGGTTTTTTTTTGTGGGTTTTTTCGGGCTGTGTGGCCATGTTCTAGAAGAGTTTCTTTCTGACGTTTCGCCAGCATCTGTGGCTGGCATCTTCAGAGATCTTCCCTGTGATATTTTTGTGGTCCCCAGGCATATGTGTATATCAACAAAAACATGGATTTTTTTAAAAAAAAAATGCTGCAGAATGCCCCCAAATACACTTTATAGGGTGAGATGGGCATCTCTACCACTTTTGGAGCTTGTTGTTGTTATGTACCTCCAAGTCATTTTTGATTTCTGGCAACCCTAAGGCGACCCTATCATAATATTTTCCTTGTAAGTTTCTTCAGAAGGGGTTTGCCATTTCCATCTCTGAGGCTGAGAGAGTGTGACTTGCCCAAGGTCACCCCGTGGGCTTCCATGGCTGAGCCAGGATTTGAACCCTGATCTCCAGAATTAGAGTCCAATGCTCAAACCACTACACCACACTGGCTCTCTTACTTTTGGAGCCCCACTGGGTAAAAACAAACAAATAATGCAGCCCATAGCCTTCCACACTTGCCCACCACTGCATTAAAGGATGTAAGCACACTGTGATTGTTGGAGGTGATGTTTCTGCCCAAGCAGATATGGGGTCAAAGTAGGTATCTAGGCTTGTGCCAAGGTCTTGGTCTGGTCTTCCTATCCATGTTGTATATCCTATTGTAGATATGTAGCTGTTTGAGATTAGGGAGCTGTCTGTAGGTGAGTAAATGCCTGCCACCTATAGCCCTTGATAGGGTATCATCATTCTCCAGAGTTAGTTGTAGCTCATCAATGATGCATTTCAATGGTCTCAGCTTTTAAATATTACTTTATAGTTACAAGGATGCAATCCAATTACAGCATACCTTGGATATATTCTGCTTAATTTTAATTTCGGCTTGCCCCTAACCAACCACAATGAACTGTTTTAGTCTGACTTTGTACTGGGCTTGTGAGCCACACTTGGTTCCTTTCCAGTGTAAATCTGGAGTAAGGATGTGAGTCTGTAGAATGCACACAGGCCACATGGGTCTGGAAGAACAGCAGCCCTGTTTTTCTTTTCAAAATCCCCTGCATTATATATATATATCTCCACAGAGTCAACTTTAGCGCTGACGAACATACATCAACAAATATGGAAAACAAAACAATATCCAACAGATTGGAAGCAGTCAATATGCATCCCCATCCCCAAAAAGGGAGGCACAAGAGACTGCAGCAACTACAGAACCATAGCACTGTTCTCCAATGAAAGCAAAATTATGCTCAAAATTCTGCAACACAAACTTCAACCATACATTTCTCTAAGAGAAATCCCAGAGATCCGAGTGGGGTTCAGGAAAGGAAGAGGCACTAGAGACCACATTATAAACATATGATGGCTAATGGAGCGCACCAGGGAATTCCAAGAGAAAATCAGCATGTGCTTTAGACTATAGCAAAGCCTTTGACTACATAGATCATGAGAGGAATTCCCTTAAAGAATGGGAGTGCGAACACATCTGATAGTCCTAATGAGGAATCTGTACTTAGGATAAGAGGTTACTGTCAGAACAGAACACGGAAAAACAGAATGATTCCCAACTGGCAAAGGAGTCAGACAAGGTTGCATACTTTCAACCTATCTGTTCAACTTGTATGCAGAACTTCTTATGAGAAAAGCAGTCTTGGACATAGAAGAAGGAACAGTGAAAAAAGGAGGAAGGAATAATACAATCTAAGATATGTAGATGACATCACAGTACTAACAGAAAACCTCACAGACCTGGAACACCTACTAAGGAAGATATAGAAGAAAGTGCTATGGCAGGCTTAATGTCGAACATAAAGAAAACAAAAATAATGACAATCAAGGACCTTCACAAGTTCAACCTAGACAGTGAAGAAATAGAAATAGTAAAAGAATTCCCATACCTGGGATCAAACATTGATAGAAATGGGGAGTGCAGTCAGGAAATCAAAAGATGACTAAGAATGGGGAGGGTGGCTATGAAAGAACTAGAAAATATTCTAAAATGTAAGGATATACACACTCAGTACAAAAGTTAGAATCATACAAGGCATTATATTCCCTATTACCATGTATGGATGTGAGAGCTGGACAGTTAAGAAAGATGATAGGAAGAAATCAATTCCTTTGAGATGTGGTGCTGGAGAAGAGTGTTGAGGATTTCATGGACAGCCAAAAGGACCAGCAAATGGGTCCTAGAGCAGATCGAGCTGGAAACCTCCCTGGAAGCCAAGATGACCAAACTCAGACTGTCATACTTCGGGTACACCATGAGAAGGGAGGGTTCATTTGAAAAATCAACTGCTGGGGAAGGTGGAGGGAAGTAGGAAGAGAGGACGTCCACATGCCAGATGGATGGATTCTATTAAGGAGGTCACAGGTATTAAAGGGCTGCAGGAATTAAGCAGAGCAGAGGAGGGTCTTGGAGATGTCTCATCCATATGGTCGTCATGGGTCGAGATCGACTTGAGGGCAGTTAACAACAAATACAGATGGATAGAAAGATAGATATAGATAGATATAGATATACAGTAAATTGCAGGCATCTGTTTCATTTTTTTAATGTTCTTGAGACAATCCAATACGGATCTATTCAGAAGTAAGCCTACTGACTTCAATGAAACTGACTTCCTCCTTTACATAAGAGAGAAAAGATGTTGCTGAGGGAGAGGAAACTGAGGCGGTGACAATCCTCCTCCTAATCTTCCTCATTTGCTGCTGCACACTAATTCCAATTTCATTTGTACCTACCACCCTTCCCCATTTATACTTGCTGAGCAACACTTGCCTCTTATGCTATTAAATACAGAGGCTACCTGATTCTGCATATATGTGCAGGGTTGAAAGAAAGAACCCTTTTTGAAACAAAGAATATGCAATAATGTGTAAATATGCAGGCTTCCAAGCTGGAAAATTGATGATGATGATGATGATGATGATAAACAATAATAACAAAATTAAAAACAACAAAAACAAAATCAACATTATCTCACCAAGTGATAATCTGGTGATCATCTAGGACAGGGGTAGGCAACCTTTTTGAGCGGAGGGCCGGATTGCTGTCCCTCAGACAATTGGGGGGTCGAAGCACCAAAAATAAATAAATAAATAAAAATTAAAATTAAAAATTAAAAAACCAAAAAACATATTTATGCACACTCTCTCAGCCCCAGAAAAGCCATGGCAAAACCCCTGTGGAGATTTTGCCAAGAAAACCCCAAGAACAAGTAATAACAACAATAATCAATATCATCATGGTGGGCGGCGGCGGCAGGACCAGCCTGGGGCCGGTCCAAAGGCCTCGGGGGGCTGCATCCGCCCCCCCCTGAAGGGCTTAGGTTGCCTATCCCTGATCTAGGACATACTCACACCTGCCCCTGGTGCAGGATCAAAGCCAAGCTTAAACTGGGGCACTGACCACACATAAAAAGGGCAAGAAAAAATTGTACATTTTAAAAAATCAAAATAAAATCAACTATCCTTTCTACTTCAGGTTTAAGCCATGAGGGGAAGACTAGGAAGTCAGCCAACATTGTGTGTCAACACAAGACTAGATAGGGAGCAGAAACATATTTCCAACCCTGTGCAAACTAACCCTCCCCACTGGGAGGGTTGCTCAATAAATGGTGACAGAAGAATTTCATATGGTTCAGTTGTTGGCTTCTGTTGTACATTCTAAAGCAACTATCCATCTACTACTCAGTCCTGCACATTCAATACTATCTTAAAATATTTCAAAACTTTGGAAAGATCTGAGCAAACAAGGGGTATAAAGAGAGATGTATGGGTCATATACAAGTAAAATCTGTTCTGTTCTTAGATTATACATAGTCTAAGTCTTTAGTACCACCCAAATACCCTAAAGGCACCACATCCTGTCTGATCTTGAAAGCTAAGCAGGATCAGCTCTGGTTAAGTACTTGGATGGGAGATTGCCAATGGATATTGGGTGCTATAGACTATATTTCAGGAAAAAGAAATGGCAAAACCACCTTAGGCATATTCCTTGCCTAAGAACACCATACAAACAAATTCATAGGGTTGATATAAGCCTCTATGTATTTAACTGAGCTGGGCCTTTACAGACTGCCAGAAATATTGCAGCTTGAGTCCACTTTAACTGCCCTGTCTCAGTGCTAAGGAATCATGGGAACTGTACTTTATTGTGGCACCAGAGCTTTCTGACAGAGAAGGCATAATGTCTCAGAAAAAAAAACACTACAATTCCCATGATTCCCTAGCACTGAGCCAGGGCAGTTAAAAGTGGACTCAAGCTGCATTATTTCTGGCAGTCTGTAAAGGTCCTAAGTGGGACTTTTTCTGAGCACTGATGGCTAGAATTGTTCCTTTAATTTCCCTTTGTCCCCATTCTACCCCTAGCTCCTATAAGGAACAGATTTTTCTTTATTTATGTTTTGTGACTCAAATAGGAACTGCAAACTATGTTTTAGTTACTGTAGTGTATATCAATTTTAATGTTTGCCTTATATTTTTTTAAAAATCAGTGAAATAGTTCTACTAAACATTCCATGCATTATCTAAGCATTCCATGCAGACAAAGATAATAGAGACAATACTTTCCAAACTCAGGCTGAGTTAAGCTATGTTTATAGTGATGCATCTAAAGTATAAATGGAAAATACCTTTATAACCTCTATTTACTTTAACCTAGACTTAAAAACACTAAGCCATTATAATTAAAGGATTGCTTCAGTACTTAACTGTACACTTCAATATCTCATCACTTTGGATTCCATTAAGTGTAATCATTACTAGGTTTTCTGGTCTTGGAGTAACTACAGAATCCTATATATTTTCCTCTTGAATTATTTATAGGCATTGTCAATCTATCATCCAACTTCGGATAGCCAAGGAATATGCCACCGATCTTGAAGTTTCAGAACATTATTTATGCTCAGTGCTTGGATTAAGTACTTCAAAAATACTATATTATAAAACAAAAATACTGAGTGTACTGGCTTGTTCTATGTAATAATTATATTATACTGGCTTGCAGTAAGGCACTGATCTAGCCTTGTATGATGATTGAATGTTGGAGTTCATACTTAAGTTATATTGATTGGAAAGCAGAACTACTGTATTTTCTGACGCATAAGACTACTTTTTAACCCAGGAAAATGTTCTCCAAAGTTGGGGGTCGTCTTATATGCCGGGTGGCAGAGGAGGAG